GGGCGTGCCCAAACACGTGGGACTGTAACAGGGAATCCAGCCCTTTGTCCAGCCCTGGCAGTGCCACATCTCTCCCTGCACACGGAGGGTGTTTGTACAAACCCCATATGTGCTGCTGCCCCAGCCCCCTGGGCTTTGAACCAGGATAGAACCCGTTTTCTTTCTAGTGATTTTACTTCTGAGGTCTCCAAGTAGTTACACTCGCTCAAATGAACAGCTTGTCTTGCAGTCACTGCTTCTAGGCCTGACGGTGCTCCATGTTAACAGCGACTGCTAGAGAAGGGTATGTAGGGCCAAGGCCACTGCTGGGAGGGAAGGGGTCATCTGTGACCCTTCTGTGGGGAGGAGCAGACCGGACAAGTGACCAAAATCGACCAAAGGAAATATTCCATCCCAAACATGTCATACTTGGAATAAATTTGAGGGATCAAAAGGGCAAGCTCTCTTCATCCATGGCTGGCTGCCAGGGAGGATTCCATCCATTCATCTGCCTTTGATCCTGATCTGTGCAGTGCATCCCAGAATCCCTGCATTCCTGCATCCAGCTCCCAGCTGCTGCTGACACCAGGATCCAAGTCTAGGACTTTTCCAGGGCCTGCCCAGCAGCCTTGGTGGTCACATTTCATTCTTTTCATCATTATTGTTTAATTTCAACTGTGTAGTTTAGCTTCCAACTCATATTTCTGTCCCTTAATCTCTCTCCTTCCCCTATAGGGTGGAAGGAGAGGGGCAATAGAGAGCATCTGTCATTCAATTGCCAGCCCAGCTTTAAGCCATGACACCCCTTGTCCCACCAAATAAGTCAAAACCACAGTGAAATATCACTTTGGGATTACCAGGAACAGTGGTCTCTTTACGCTGCCTATAGCACCCATGTAGCAGAGTCCATGAGCCAAAGGTAACAAGCCCTAGGACAGACTATCTACAGCACAGCTTTGTTTCTGTAGTGATAATTCTTAAAGGCCTTTTCCAACCAAAACAATTCTAAGATCACCAAGTTCAACCATTAACAAAACACTGCCAAGTCCACCACAAAACCATGTCCCTACGTACTACATCACATCTTTTAAACACCTCCAGGGATAGTGACTCCACTACTTCCCTGGGCAGCCTGTTCCAGTGCCTCACAACCCTTTCACAGCAAAGGAATTTTTCTTCATTTCCTCTAAACCTCCCCTGGCACAACTTGAGGTCATTTCCTCTTGTTGTATCACTTGTACTTTGGGGTAAGAGACTGACCCCAACCTTGCTACAACCTCCTTTCAGGTAGTTGTAGAGAGTGGCAAGGTCTCCCCTCAGTGTCCTTTTCTCCAGACTAAACCACCCCAGTTCCCTCAGGTTCTTCTCACAAGACTTATGCTCTAGACCCTTCACTTCTTTGGAAACACTCCAGCACCTCAATGTCCTTTCTGTAGTGAGAGGCCCAAAAGTGAACACAGTATTTGAGGTGTGGCCTGACCAGTGCCAGGTACTGGTGGGCACAAGCACTTCTGTAGTCCTGCTGGCCACACTATTTCTGATACAAGCCAGGATGCTGTTGGCCTTCTTGGCCACACTGCTGGCTCATGTGCATCTGACAATCAACGAATTGCCCCAGGCCCTTTTCCACTGAGCAGGTTTCTGGCAGAAGACTGCACTTGGTCTTGTTGAATCTCATACATTTGGCCTCAGCCCATCAATCCAGCCCATCCAGATCCCTCTGTAGAGCCTTCCTATCCTCAAGCAGATCAACACTGCCTCACAACTTGATGGTACACTAAGTCCCCTCATCTAGACCTTAGATCCAGCTCCTCAATCATCTCCATTAGGAGAGGTATGGTGACCACTTCTCCATGCAGCATACCCATATATTTGAATATAATATTAAGTGACAAAAATTTGGTTTAGACAAGGTTAGTCAGCAGCACCTTCCCTTGATAAACAAACATTTCACTGAATTGAAATGCAGAAACATTTATTTTGGTTTCCTTCATTGGTTTTGAAAATTGTTTTGGTTTTATAAAACATAGAAATAGCCAACACTACGCAAACATTTGAATTCCAATGTAACAAACTACTGCTCTAACATTTGACTTGGATTTGTGTACCTTAATTGCACACATGTATGAAATTATGCTACAGAATAGTGCATTACAATCACACACAAATCTTAGTGCAAACCTTGTTGTGCTTGTATTTTACATATATCCATGTTTTCAGGAAACAGCAATGTATGCTAATGCAAAACCAACTCTGTTAAGGATAGCAAAAGACTTATGCTGTCATAAGGCTTATTTCTGCTGATTTCTCAAACAAAAGGTAACTAGTTGTTTTGTAATTTATCTGGGAATTAGGTTTTTATCCCTGAACAAACACCTAATCCTGTACCAAAACACAGTTCTGTTGGCATATTTAAATACTTCAGATTGCTGCAAAGCATCAGGCAAAAACCTTCCACCTGACCTATTTTGCTATTCAGTGAAGAATACTCAGTGGCTCATACATGAAGCACAGAAAACGAAGTTATGTCAGAAGCTCTTCTGCCTATGGAGGACCTGGCACATTTTTAAAAATGCATTTTAAATACACGTTTATTACAGGGGAAAAAAGTGGCCAATACAGGTGCAATGTTTACCTGGCTGTTAGCATAGCCTAGCCTCCTGAATGGTGTTGGTTTTAAGTCTCTAGTGTTCTTGCCAGAGTTATGATCTACTATTCATTTACAGGGCTGGCACCACTCTGAAACTGTGTTAATGTAGCAAAGGCTACATGTGCTAAAATAACTGTATCCACACTTTCAGTGCAGGACCACCACATGCAGACTTACTCTGAGGTATTCATCCATCTCCTTGGTGTGGAGTACTGACTTCTACCTTATAAAAGTTTATCTCAGAACTGTCTGCAGATAAAAAGAAGGGAGAAAAAACACTCAGATGCCTTGCCCCAGTTAATATTAGGACTAATGCAAGCTATGATACCAGCTATACAACTGCAGGGGCTTGGTTTGGTGGTTGTTCATTTGTTGGTTTGTTGTTTTTTTGGTTTTTTTTTAACAGATTAAGTAATCCTTCTGAGGATGCAAGATACTTAGAGGCATTTTCAAAACTGCCAAACCCTTTGTGGGATTGACAACTGAAAAATACACTGCAGACAGCAAAAACACACTGGCAATAAGAAAACCTTAGCTCCTTGGTGAAGGACAGTCCCATTTTTTGCCAAGGAAATCTTAAATAACTTACATATAGTTACCATTTATAGTTAAGGCTCTTTTTGGAAATCGTAGGTCACCATAAAAACAATATACAACACAACTTGACAGTAAGGCAGTGTTGCATTTCTTCAGTGTTCCTATGGTAAGTACCCATTTTTGTACAAGTTAATGATTGCACAAATTCCTTCCCTATGTTTGCTGTAGTCAAATTACAGATATGAAGGCCGACAGTAGACAGACATGTGCCACTCTTCTTGTTCTGTTCTCAGTTACATTTTGGCATTAGCATAGAGTTCATCTATCTGTGACTGGAAACACTTCCTCAGTTCTGGTCTCTTTGCCTTCAGTGTTGGTGTCAGCAGGCCGTTTTCAATAGAAAACATTTCAGTGTGCACAACGATGTCTTTGACCTGGAAAGTAAAGAGTTACTAGCCAAGCTGTACCCCTTGGAATAGACAGGGCTATTAAAAAGATCACCCAGACATCATAACAAACCCCACTGCTTTAAAGGTTTTCCAGATAAAAATTCCAATCAACTTCTGCAGTCATTTTATACTGGTATCAAGAAATTTAAAGGACTGTGCTCAGTTCTTATTAGCATCTTACCTGTTCAAATGACTTCAAACCAGATTCTTTCCCAACCCTCACCATGTCTTCCAGAATGTGTTTTTTGACATCCTGTGGGTAGAAGAATACATTGTAGAGCTTGAAAATGTCGATGCAAAACAGCTAACTGTGTAGTCAGATATGATTCACCTTGTTTTTGCATAGCTCTTCATATGAGCCTTCAAATCCCCTTTTCTTGGCCCAGTTGCGCAAAGTCTCAGGATCAGGTACCACAACAGCAACTAAGAAGGCCTAAAAAGGGAAATTTTGTCAAGCTTTTTTTTTTCCTTAAAGTTTACACTTCCTACACATTTCTTACTACTTGGTGTTTGAGGTTTCAGACAGCTGTTCTGGCCCTGCTGTAAACTCCGCAGCTTTCTGCTGCTTGAACGCAGTGCAGTTCCGAAGCTGGCACTTCAGAGCACTACACTCTTGTTAAGATCCACATTTCAATTTCCACTTGCAACAAAATGAACATATTGTTTTG